ACCACAACATAATCATTATCATTGATCTTGTTCAAAATTTGATATGACCCGTATTTCTTAGGCTGTAGTTTGTTGTAATAATAGGAACCTCTCCTTTCATAAAAACATCATCATTTGAATACCAACTTCAAAAGCATGTTTTTTGTGATACTCAACTTCTTTCTTACTCTCCTCAACTATCAGCACCTGTTTCACAATTAAAGCATTGCCACTTTTGATTCTCTAATAATAGCCTCCGTCTCATGCCAGGAATAAGTGATTGTGAACAAAGTTTGCACCTTCATCTTAGAAGCTTTGATTTTGGAATTGACTTTCATGGGTAATAAACTAAATTTTGTGCTCACTTTCTCCATTCTGTAGGTGTTGTCTCTCTCTCATCATGCTATGTCGCAACATGAGATTGCCAGTGTCTACCAAATAGCAAGTGACAAGCATCCATGTCCACAACACGAAGATGTATCCCATCTTTATATTTGCCAATTGAAAAAAGAACTCTACAGCATTCAATAACATGAATTTTTTTTGTTTTATTCTAGCCAATAGTATATGAATTTGGGGTGATTTTTCAATTTTAAGGTCCATACTCTCAATAGCCATACCAATAATATTTTCACAACTTCTACTATTAATAATAACATCAAATAATTGGTTACTCATAGTATAGCGGGTTTGAAATAATTGATATCCTTGGATGTGATCCTCTTGTTATCGTGATGACATCAACCTCCTCAGCACATAATTCTGGGTGTCGTCATCATCCTCCTCATACTCATTTTCATCCCCATCATGGCTACAACAAATCTTGTCATGAGAGTCTGTTTCTTCCTATTGGGAGTGTTGGGACTGGATGTCATCCAATTTGATGGGTTCTTTTAAGTTTAATGTAGAGGGTAGCTGGCTGTCCAGGTGGGATAGAATCTGTGGAACTAAAGAAATAAAAGTATTTTTTTAGGAAGGTTTTAAAAGATGTGGAGTCCAGATAGGTGATCAATTGGTGGGCGTCGGCTTGCAATCTAATCAAAGCTAAGCAAGCTCTTGTTCCTAGTATCAAGAACAAAGGCCATGTTAGATGGATGGACCCTTCCCCAAGATGGTTGCGTGAAACTTAGCACAATGGATCAGAAAAATGTATTGCGAAAAAAAGCCTCATGCAGGCTTTATAAGGGATAACAAGGGTGCATGGATTAAAAGATATACCAGAAATCTTACGAAAGCAATAGCAATGTTGACGGAGGCTTGGGTTGTATGGGAAAGCCTCAAGTTGGTGTTCAATGTAGGCCTGAGGAAAGTTATTCTTGAACCAGATTCAAAAATTGTTGTTGACATGACCAAGAGAAGGACCGAAAGAAGCTTCATTACAACGACAATTATCCTAGAATCAAGTCATTTATGCATTATAATGGCAAGTGGAGGTTAGCAAAGACGGAAACAAGTATGGGGATTTACTTGCTAACTTGAGTCACTTGCACGAGCTCAATATCAAGGAATGGGTTCCCCCCACCCCTCCAAGAAAAAAAAAAAGGGAAAAAAAAGAACAACTTGGTGGGCTTTCACTAGCTAATAGATACTATGAGTGTCTTTATTCCCAATATAACCAATTATAATCTTGTCTGGACTCTGCCTTCGTCCTTTTTGTAACAAAAAATTATTAAAAAAAAAAAAAAACTCTCTCCATCCTCCTATTCTTACTCCACCAATATTTACTACTTTTTAAGGGAGCTATTGCAAGATCTATGACCCAAATGGTTGTATTTGAAGCACTTTTTTGGAATTGGTTTAGGATAAGAATTTGCAACCTTTTGTTTTCCAGGCTTCTTATCCTCTTTATCAATGGATTTGCCCTTGTCATTGGAAACTATTTAATTACCTTCAATATGACCATTGTGAGGATAATCTAATATGAACTTTTCTTGCAACATTAGTTTAGTCTTCAACTCTATATTTTTGGCTTCGAAAAAAGGTCCTAACCATTGGTACTCTTGTTTTGTACAAGAAAACTAGCTTCAAACCATCCATACATTTGGCTATCTGCTTGATTTTTGTCCCCCTCTCACATCATTCCTCATAGTTAGCCTTGTAAATTTTGCAATATATTCATGAATAGATTTCTAACTTTGATAGTATCTTGGTAATACTGTAATAATATGTGCTGGCAATCATGCAAATGATAATCATTTTACAATAATTGTCTCTTATAGTATCTTCCGTATTGTAATCTTTTCCACCATATTAAAACTTCAACATTTAATATATATACAAGTTTTTTCACCCCTTTTTTCTTCTGAAATTTCCATATATTCAAAGGATATGTCTATCTTTGTAATCTAATCTAAAATTTATCGATATTTAAATTCTTATTGAAAGAAAGAATATCTATCTTTTATTAAAATTATTAGTATCTATGTTAGCATAGTTGTGCCTCTCACATCCAACATTTCTCATGCGTTTCTTAAAATAGTCATCTTTCTTATTGAGTTATTCAAATAAACCTTTTATCTACTCTTGTTTGTAGAATGAGATCTGTCAATAGGTTGCTTATGAGTCCCATTATCTCTGGTACCTAGTATCTCGTCATTTTAATTTTTGTTAGTATTTAGCTCAAAATATCAAATCAATCTAAAACTTCAATATTTAATATACATACAACAAGTTTCACCCCTTTTTCCTTCTTAAATTTCCATATATTCAAGGATATGTCTGCCTTTATAATCTAATCTAAAATTCATCGATTTTTAAGTTCTTATTGAAAGAAGGAACATCTATCTTTAATTAGAATTCATTAGTATCTATGTTAGAATAATTTTGCCTCCCACGTCCAACATTTCTTATGGGTTTCTCAAAATAGTCATCTTTCTCATATGAACTATTCAAATTAACCTTTTATCTATTCTCGTTTGTAGAATGAGATTTGCCAACAAATCGTGAGATGCATTATCTGTGTATCTAGTATCTCATTATTTTAATCACTATTTAGCTCAAAATATCAAGTCAATCTACAATTTTTCCAAAATGTTGTTCCAAATGTTGGAATTTGAAATCCAATCATTACTCCAAACCTCTTAATACTCCCTCTTGATCCACAATAGATCGATAGGTCTCACTTCCACAATCTTCATCATGAGAATGATCACTTGTTCTAAATGTGCCACCTACTATTGAGTTGGTATATCAACCAAATTTGAAATGAATTAACGTAGCAACTAGGTGTGAAAAATAAATAAATCCTAAGTTTGAAAAAAGATTGTATAATTTTATTCTTGATTGTTGCTATCTTTTCTAGCAAAGGATGATTGTGCATATGATAATCAAGCCAAAAAAAACAGAGATCAAGACAAAATTTGCTGTTTGATTCTTTTTTTATTTTTAGTTTTTCATATAAAACAAAGAAGGATTTCTATAATATTTAAATAGATATAAAAAATAATTAATTTTTTTGGCATGGAACATTTAATTATCTAAGAAAAGAGTCTCACAAAAATAATTTCTAACAACTATTGTTCATATTTTTTGAGGGACTAATTTTTTCTTAATTTTTTTGAACCGAAACCTAACACATTAAAATTCAATTATTTTTGGATCTAGAAGAAATTATTTTCTTGCAATATTGAGTAAGTTTACAATCATAAACATTTAATTAATGTTACATTTGGGCCTTGATAAATAAATATCTGAGGATCAATTACAATAGTTGTCCCCCGACTTCACACCTAATTTCTATTGAGTACTTGTGCTTCCACTTGTCACAATCCAAACCCCCATTTATTTTTAATTTAATGCGCTTGAAAATATTTTTCTCATTTAAAAAATTTTATGGTTGATTAAAATATCAAGTGTTTATCCGCACATCACATGAAGAGAAGAATATCGGTGGCTGCTTTTGGGTAACCCTCCTGAGTCCCAAGATTCCCTTTGCTGTTCTCTTTCTCTGAGACCCTGCAAGGTCAGCTCAACTCATTTATGGATTCATTGCCGGTAGAATTAGTCAACTTTGGAAAATCACTCATAGTACCCAGCGTTCAAGAGCTAGCCAAACAGCCCCTCCGTGCAATCCCGGCGAGGTACGTGCGCGACGAGCAGGACCCTCCGGTCGTCTACTCCAGCGATGGGGGATTTCTCCCGTCGGTGCCGGTGATCGATCCGCGGAGCTTGCTTTCAGGGGATCAGATGGAGACTGAGTTGGATAGGCTGCACTCTGCTTGCAGAGTAGGGGGTTTTTTTCAGGTCAGTTTTTCACCTTTCTATGAGGCATTGCAAAACAGGGCCCTAGAGCTGGCTCCGTCATGTCTTGTTTGGATGCTGAAAATAAAAGAAAATGTGAAAGTGTGGCTACAATGATGAGCATGGGTTATTTTCATTAATTTTCCTCAAAAATTAGTTTGTTTTCTTTATTTTTATTGGCGGAAAAAAAAAAAGAAAAAAAATTTCCCATGACATTAGATTATCGAATAGAGAGATCTGGGTCGCAGCTGTAACTTTATTGAATGTGGGCCTCCTGTAATGGCCCGATACCACGTCTAGCCCAACTTTGTGAAGTAGCCCAACAAAAAAATCAACTTCTGCGTGTTGGAATTTATACTAGTTTGTAACCCAGAACAGCTTGAGTCCTTTGCTTTCACTACAGCTCAAAACAATTTTCCAATTTGGGTCTGCACAAAATTCGGAGAGTATTTTACGAAAGGGAGTGCTTTGTTCGGTCAAAAGAGTCAGGTTTCTTAAAAAGCCCAAATCTTTTTAACGGCTTCTTGGTTGAAAAGCGTTCAAGAAAGCTTAATTTTTTTTCAAACAGGTCCACGAAAAAGCCCTTAAAACTAGGCTCTTTTAGGATCCCTTACTCTAGTTCTTTGAAATCCGATTGTTGGGCTTTCCAATGCGCGCACGCGCGCACAAAATCCTCAATTAACCAATTATGCAATGTAAGAAAAAGGCCATTTTTGAACCAAACAACCTCAACATTGGATGGGATCTGATGAATCTTGTAAACGAATGTTACTTTGTTTGGCATGATATCATTTTTAATTTTTGATCTCCATACTGAATGTAGGGAAGTATTAGAACTATATGCAATGGAAGTGAAGAAGTTAGCAATGACAATCCTAGGTCAGATGGCTAAAGCACTAAAGATGGACAATGAAGAGATGACAGAGCTATTCACAGTTGGCGTGCAGTCCATGAGAATTAACTATTATCCTCCATGCCCCGAGCCAGACATGGCCATGGGCTTCACTCCTCACTCTGATGCAGTTGCTCTGACTATTCTCTATCAGCTTAATGACACTGAAGGCCTACAGATTCGAAAGGAAGGGAAGTGGGTATCTGTAAGACCGCTTCAAAATGCTTTTGTTGTCAACGTTGGAGACATCATGGAGGTAATGTTTTTATTCTTTTTGTTCCATGGTATGGTCTGGAAGCCATATGTTTATGTTATTTGAAGAAAGTATTCATCTAAGATTTTTATCTGTTGCATATTGTCCATGAAAACGAGCTAAATGGTGGATTTATTCTAAGTTCAAACTTGGTTTGAAGAACTTGACAAGGCTCAGAGGGGCTTCGAAATTTTTTGAGATGATCTCAAACCAGTCTTAATTGGTAAATAAAATTCAATCTGAGGATGGACTCGATATAAAGGGTGTTCAAAAGTTAGTTTGACATGATGCTTTAGCAAGCCAAATACGAGAAAAATTCTAGTAGTTTGAATCGACTTTGTAATTGGGTAGTTTCATAGTTTGTCTCTGTCATTGCAGATTGTAAGCAACGGGGTTTACAAGAGCATTGAGCACAGAGCAACAGTGAACTCGACCAAAGAGAGGCTCTCCATTGCAACATTTTACAGCTCCAATTTAGAGTCAGAGTTAGGCCCCGCTCGGAGACTCGTTGGACTGGACAATCCGGCAATTTTCCGGCAAATCCCCTTTGAGGAGTACTTCAAGGGCTTCTTCGCAAGGAAACTTGATGGCAAGTCTTACCTGCATTTCATGAAAATAGGAACAGGGGAAGGCATTGCTAGTTAATTTCTGTTGCATTTGCAAAATAAAAACCAACTTTCCTCATTGGGGAACTCAAACTTAATGAGCTATCTTGAAGAGTCAAGTGGAAGCATGCAACACAACACTTGGTTTCACTTGCATAAACAAGTTTAATTTAATCATTATTTATCGCTGGATTGTATTAAATTAACAAGCTAATCTTGAGCAGTCTCCTCATGGTCAATGCTTGAGTGTTTGAGTGTGTGTGTGTGTGTGTGTGTGAGAGAGAGAGAGAGAGAGAGAGAGACCGGAGCATCTGGGCGAGGTGTACCTGATAGACAACCTTGAAAGCATAAGATTTTTTAAATAACTGATCTGAATCAAATTTGTCCAGCCTAAGTAGCTCCGTCATACAACTCATCAACAGTAAACTCAAGGCTGTTATCTTTATATACGCTGAACCAAAAGAAAAGAAAGAAGAAGGAAAAAAAGAAGAAAAGAAAAACCCTTTCTAGCATTCTGTCAAACTTGAAATCAATCCAAGAAAAGTGATAATGTATGATCTCACATGTCCATGTCTTCACCTATACCTGTTTTGGTTTATCAGTAATCGGTGTGGTTGGGCCAACTTATGCATTCCCAGATTAAGACCACACAGCCATACGAACTAAGTCAAAAGGCAAAAGGCAAAAGGCAAACTGCAAACTATACATGCATGCCAGTGAAAAGGGGTAAAGAAGAAGAAGTGAATAATAATTTATAGGGAGTATGTCTTTACTCGTCGTATCTTTCCATGCTGGCAAACCTTTTTTATTAACAGGTATACAACAAATTAATATACAAGATGGGTATATTTAGAAGAATAAAGTTACATATATCAAATACAATTATACAAGGAAAATTCAGTAACTATTGATTGATTTTCTCCCTTGATTTGGGCCCAAAGTTTGAAGATGGTGATCAGTTTCTCTGTTAACCTATGTGGAAATGTTGATGGCAATGAGTTGATCTCTAATAAGGGATTTGGGAATTGTGTACCCCGGAAATAAAAACTATCCAACAACATAGTAGTGAATCTTACTTTTTATCAAAAGTTGGCTGTTTCAACATTTAGGATGCTGATTTTTTATTCACCTCATGCACTGATTTGGGTTAATTTGACTAATTTCGTTTTACTTAATCCAATATTTTTCAAGTCATTGGTTGGCCTCCCAACTTCTGTTTCATATGTTAATTAAATCCCTTAATCATATTTAATTTCTGTATGATTAATTGGGTACTGGGATTACACCTGTAAAGGAAGCCATACTTCCCACCAAAGAAAAGGAAGAGTATAGGCAACCTCTCACGTGTAGTCCCGTATTTTGGTGCTTCATTCCTGATTTTCAAGGCTTCTCTTGCTTCTTTTTATAGAATAAACGAGAACAAGTTTATCTGTCAAGGAATTACAGAGAGAGCCAGCTTGATGTCGCACGAATGCCCTGCTTGCTGTATTACGTATCAATCATCATGTTTCAAAAATTAAATCTGACATTATTTATTCCTAATATAATCTTATATGATCGTGGAATGAATGGCCGGTAAGAAATGATCGGAATGGATAGACAGAGGAAATGAAAATGATTTCCTTTTTAACTTTAAAAAATATATAACACCAAAAGAAATCTTTGAAAGCTGTATTGTTTATATATTGTTTATATTTGGAGTAGACATCATTGATTGAGAGAAAAAGAGAGAAAAACGAGACGAAAAGACTAGTCTACCCAAACAAGAGAAGCGGGGAGGTCAAATTCTTCTAAAAACTGGAGCATGCTTTCTGAAAATCCTTCAAAATAGCTTTTCCAAAACAACCTGAAGGAGCTTGTTTTCTGAAATAATTTCTAAAATAGTTTTTATAAGCAATCTGCCAAACAAGTACGTTTTGCTTTTGCTAACTATTTCATCAATAATATTTTTTTAAAAAAATCTAGTTTCCAGAAATATTTTTCAGAAAAACTTAGGACGGTTTTTTCTCAATCTCAGAACTACGTACTTTTGTTTTCTAAACCAAAATTTTAAAAATACTATTTTTTTAAACTATAATTTTAAGAATACATACTCCAAAAAGTAAAGTATATAATCTTAGAAGTGAACTATACTTTAGTATATATTTTTTTATACATAAATCCTTATCTCAAAAAGAATGTATTAACTAACACAATTTCAAATGTGTTAAAAATATATCAATATATATCAAATAAATGATGTATTAATTATTTTTAAAATATTATGCCATAAAAATATATTTTAATTTAAAAATATGTACTCTTGGAGGCCATGAAAAAGCGGCGCATCAGATGATCTAATTAGCAGCTTACTTCCCCCCTTCCCATGTTGATATGCACCTTAATGATACGTAAAACACTGTTATTTATATTTGTTTGATTTATTTTATATATAGTTAAGAACCAACAATAATGTAATGATAATGTTGCACTTTCTATTTCGCTCCTTGTAGTAGGTCCATCACCTATATAAAGCCCATGTAACTCCCTCCTCCCCATCCCTCTCTCTCTTCTAAGTTTTCAAATATGCTGTTGGTTTCCATTTTAGTAAGTTGTTTGGTGGCTGCATCGGCCAACGACTTCAACCAAGATGTGGAGATAACTTGGGGTGGCGACCGTGCTAAGATATGGAAAGGCGGTCGGCTTCTCACTCTTTCTCTCGACAAGTTCTCCGGCTCTGGTTTTCAATCCAAGAGAGAGTACCTCTTCGGCAGGATTGATATGCACATCAAGCTTGTCGCCGGCTACTCCGCCGGTACCGTCACTACTTACTATGTAAACTCCCTCTTCTCCATCCAAAAGTCACCGACACAAGTCGGAAGGATTGTTTGATTTTTATTTTTTTTTTTGTGTCATTTTAACCTTTTCAATAAAGCTTTTTGTCTCGTTGGGGAAGAAAGTTAGAAGTGGTGTTTATTTGTTTCCACGTCCTTGAAAGACTTTTTAACCAAAATCTCTTACATTTCAATGATTTGGACCTTGGAAAGTTTTTGTGAAAAAATATTTTAAAAAAATCCTTACAATACATTTTTAAACTATTAAAAGTGGTAAAAGCAAGCAAACTGTTCAATATTTTCAAGGCTTTTTCCGGTTCATAGAAGCACTAACCAGAGATAGAAACCAAACAATTTTGTTGCAGTTGTCTTCAGAAGGGGAAACGCATGATGAGATTGATTTCGAGTTCTTGGGGAGTGTAAGTGGACAACCTTACATCGTCCACACCAACGTGTATGCCCAAGGAAAAGGAGACAGAGAGCAGCAATTCCACCTCTGGTTTGACCCAACAGCAAGATTTCACCTTTACTCCATCTCATGGAATCCCAAGAACATCATGTAAGAAATTATATACATAGAGTGAGAAATTATATACATATAGTTCTTCTCTTGAGAATATCGGCTACAGAAAATCGAGAAAAAATTACAAAAATTGATTGATCACTTTGCTTTTATTTTCTATGAAAAAGTAGTTCCATATTTTTTCTTCTGCTTTGAGAAAAATTAACATGAATTTATTGATTATAAAACCTGCAACTAAACTCCAAGAGCCAGAGAAAACCTCTGAGTTAATTAATCAAACAACTAGAGCCCAAAACCTAATCTTGCCATGTTAGAATTTGACCCATATTCATGTATAAAATTAAGGAATGCACATTATATATTATTTTACTATCACATGTCTTTTATCTTTTTTCCTATAAGTGAAAAAAAAAAAAAAACTTTTTTTTGAAAGGAGAAAGATGAAACTTTCATTAAAATTGGCGGTAAGACCAAAGAAAACACAGGACTCATTCAAAAGACACAATCCCAGACCATGGAGACAACAATCTCCACAGAAACCTTGGAAGAAGTAACACTTCAACAGATTTACTCAGTTCTGTGGAACTAACACGTTTTACCATAAATTTAGCATTACTCGGTTCTGAATATATTATTAGAGTCTTAAATTTCTCTATTAATATATAATTAGAATGTGTTTGTAATTGCTTTTCGGATTCTTAATAGACAACGTCCCCATCAGGGTTTTCAAAAGCCAAGAAGACCTTGGAGTCCCATACCCTAAGACCCAACCCATGGGGATGTACTCCAGCCTGTGGAACGCAGACGACTGGACCACGCAGGGAGGGCTGGTTAAGACTGATTGGTCCAAGGCTCCGTTCACCGCTTACTGCATTAACTTCAAAGGTGATGCTTGTGTGGGAACTTCATCTTCATGCTCTTTTAAGACATCTAGTTCTGGGCCCTCGTCGGAGGAGCTGGACGCAAGGGGAGGAAGAGGCTCAGGTGGGTTCAGAAGAATTACATCATTTACAACTTATGCACAGATTTCAAGCGCTTCCCTAATGGTCTACCACGGGAATGCAGGAGTAATTAATTGAAGGTTTCTCCTTTCAAATGATGTATTAATTGCCAGGATTAGTTTGTAAGATGCAGTTGGTTGTAAAGTATGAAGTTTCCCTTGGTTTCATCTTATTGTTTTATTCTACGAGAACTAAAGTGAAGGTAAATAATTTACAAGGGAACATTTTGTATTTAACTGTCAGAGATCCACAGAAGGAGAAAGCTGTAAAACATTTGATTAATAAACAGACTGCATGCTTTTACGTGCTTTCAGGGTTTGAGAAAAGGCGCTTAGCCTTCCCGCTAATTTCTAAGTTTTGCTGTCATTTGTTTCTGGATGAGTAAATGGTTGCAGTTAGATGGTATATGATAAAGTGGAATGAATTTTGATATAATAGAAACGAGAGTAGGAATGAGAATTAAATAGAATGGAATAGAATTAAGATTTTTATGAGTACATTTGAAACAAGAATTTTTATTCTATCATTATGTTTCGTATATTAAAAAGAGATAAGAAAATAAATAAAAAAATGTTTAAAGACAAAATATCTTTTGTTATAAAGATTTAAAAATAAAAAAAATTAACTTATAATATATTCTGAATGTAAAACCCCAAATTTTGGAGTTACTAAATAAATTTAAGAGTTTAGGGTGAAATTGAAAGAATCGGGAACTTTAGGGGTTTGAATGTAAATATTAAAGTGTGCCAGTGATCAGATCGCAAGAGGCCCAAAGTCGGAGGACTAAATTTGCAAAATCAATAAATTCAACCCATAAATGGTCGAATGTTTGATCCTCCATGTTTAATGTGTTAAATTGTGTAATTAAAAGAGAATTAAACAAAAGTTTGCCTATAAAGAGTGTCGATCGAGGCTAAAGAGTGAGAATCCCAGCAAAATTTTTAGAAATTTGTTCCAATATTGGGTTAATTTCTTCTTTTCCATCTAAAGGTCGGTCTGCCTTTGTTGAAGGACGAAAGCTCGATTCTTGCAAAACTGATGCTGTTGTGAGTTGATTCAAGGGCCATCAAGGGTCACAAGGGTGTTCTGATCATTGATCCAGAGTTTCATTTACAAATTTTCTCGAATTTGTCAAGTAAATTAATGAATTATGGCTTCAAGCAAAAATGGGCTGAGAATTTGGGTATGTTCTAACCTGATTTCCTTGGAATGGTTTGGGTTAATTTTTGTTGGGTCGGCCCAGCAAGGGTTGGGCTAGGTTTTTGGGTTAGGTCAGGCCAACAAAGTGAATCTGGGTTTTGGGTACCGAGTATGGGCAGGATTTGGATCTGGGATCCGGATCCAAATAGCAAAAAAATCAATATAAACAAAAAGATACAGAAATAGAAAATTGGCCGATTCGGGGACTTCTAGACCAATTCACGGCAGGTTCAAGGTACAGTTAGAAAGGTAATTAAGTAACCTAGCTGGTTCATGGTTGGTTCAAGGGTAAATCAGCCGATTTAGTGAGGAAATTAAAGAATTAGGTTTTTGGATGGCCAGTTCAGTAGATTTAAGGTCGGTTCAATGGATTTTGTGTCCGATTCAGTGGGTTTCGTGGCTGGTTCAGTGGTTTTATCACCAGTTCAATGGGTTTCATGTCCGGTTCAATGATAATTTAAGGCTTGATTCAATGATAATTTGACCGGTTCATGGTTGGTTCAACTTTCTAGTGACCGGTTCAAGACCGGTTTAGTATTTTAATGATTGGTTTAAAGGATAATTAGACAAGTTTATTGTTTTACAAGCCTAGTTCAAGAATTTAATACTTAGGAAGTGAATTATCTAATCGGTTCAAAACTTTAAGAACTTTCGATATGAGTTTGAACACGAAAATCTAAGAGAATAGTAAGGTTTTGAGGGGAATTTGAATTTAAGTTAGTTATGAGATGAATTATATTCTAAAATAACAATTTTGATTATTTCTAGATTAAGTGATCAACTCTCATGAAGATAAAGCGCCGAAACTCAAGTTTCATGGTTCTCTAGTGTTTGTGAGTAGTAATACTCATTTATATACTTCGTTGTTTTTCGTATCTGCTAAATGTTAAATTTTTACATGAATTATTTTATAAACTCAGTTATTTTGAAACTAGAATTTAAATTCGTCATAAAAGTTTACAAGGGACATATATGGTATTTTTTTTTTTTTGGAAATTTCCTGAACTATTAATTTTGATTACAATTATGCTTGGAAAAGTTGAAAAGTGATAAACTGTTTTTTGGTAAACTCTGAAAAGTGATTTTAAGTTTGTATCCCTAGCTAGTAAGGGTGGTACTAGATTAATACGTGGACTGACATGACAAGCTTGTTTGGGATAAGCGGAGATGATGGTAAGTAGGGACAGTAGTTATATTCTCGCATGCGAGTCCTACCCATGATTCTCGCCTGTTATATGTTACTAGCAGACTAAGAGGCTATTGCCTGTTATATGCGTATCTATTCAGTTCTATTAAGAGACTTCTTAAGTTTGCATAAATGGAAATAAATTTTGTTTTATGACAAAAACTATATGATATATGTCTCTTATCATGTAAATATCTGTTGCTATTCACTAAATCATTAGACTCACCTTTTAATTTTTTCAGACTCAAATTTTGTGCTGCTAACTGATCCTGCTACATGAGAAGAGTTGTCAATTCTGATTCTATGGCTCCAACGGATTTGGTTTCCCAGTATAGTAGTCAATTATTGTTTTTTTCCTATTGTGTTAATTTGTTTTAGTTAGTACAAACATAATTTGAATTTAAGAATTATCAAATGTTGATGATTCTATTAGATTTTCAGAAGTTTGTATCAGACTTTGGTAATATATTAAGTTTAGTTTCACTTTGTTATATTATAATTCCGAGTATTGAGGCTTGCAGGGTTGGGATTATCCTAACCCTAGCACCAATTATGAATTCGACTTTCCGGGTCGTGACACTAAATATATTAAAAAATTAAAATTAAAATTTTTTTATTCTAACATTAAAATATTAAATTCATCTATATGTGTGTTTGTATGTATAATATATATATTATAAATATAATAAATTATATAATATATAATATTATATATCATATTATATAATTTATTATATTATACTAGATATATATCATATATAATTATATTATACAATTTATTATATAATATAATATTATATAATATAATAAATACTTATAATTTTTTATATTTATAGGATATTTTTGTCATTTACTTAAAAAGTAAAAAATATTATAGTACTTACATACTTAAATAAGAATTTCATTAATGGATGGAATCTGAATTTTATAACTCTAATAAAGGAATCCAGATTCCTTCATTTGATAAAATTCTCATTCCTTGATAAATGAGAATTTCATTTCAAAATACTTATCAAATACATTTTATTGAGATTCTGTTCTTGTTCACATTTCTTCAACAAAATTTCATTATCTTATACATCAACTTAATCCAAAGTATTTGGTTTATGTCAACTCATAGGGGTTGAAAGTTTAATTATCAATTATATTTCACTCAATATTATTATTTTTTCGTATTTTTAAAAAGCGAACTAAATAATTTGTACATTTATAAATTCATTTTCTATTTATGGTTTTATATTTTATTTGTAGCAAGGCTAGCCGTAGGTTCCTACCTAGTATAAAGCCCTCAAAATGATGTCACCCATCCACAGAACTCTCTGTCTCTGACCCCTGCCTAACTGGGTTTTCGCCCATTATCTCAATTTCCAATCAAGCTACTACTACCATCCATACTTGGGAGTTGTCTGGGGGCTGCATTCGCCGACAACTTCCACAACTTCCACCATGATATTTTTAATTTCTTTTTCAGCTTCTTCATAGACAATATGCCTATTAGGATTCACAAGAATCAAGAGGACTTTAATGTCCCATACCCTAAAACCAGACCAATGAGGGTCTTCTCGGGCCTATGGATTGCGGACGATTGGGCCATGCAGGGAAGGCTGGTTAAGATCGACTAGTCCAAAGCTCTATTTAGGCCTTTTTACAGAGATTTCATAGCTGATGGTTGTGTGGCAGATTCTTCTTCATCTTCATCTCCTTGATGTTCTTTTAAGCCTGCTAGTTCCAGGCCTATGCAAGAGAGACTCGACGAAAGGGGGAGAAGGAGGCTCATGTGGGTTCAGAAGAGGTACATGATTTACAACTACTATAAGGATTTGAAGCGCTTCCCTGAACGTCTACCACATGACTGCAAGCCTTGATAATTGGAAATCTTCTACTTTTAAGTGATGTATTAATTGCTTATTGATTGGGATTATAAGATAAGTTAATTTGGTGGTGAATTGTCAGGTGGGTTCAGAAGACGTTCCATGTTATCATTACAACAAATGCTAGTTTTAGTGACGAACTATTTGTATTGAATACAGATTTCGTCACAAATAAGGGTGTATTAGTGACCAAAAATTTTTGTTACATTCTTTTGTGGCAATATATCATCTTGTTATAATACCTATATCAATTGTGATGAAGTTCATTATGTCACTAATTAGTCATCACTAATACATTTGTTTTAATGGCAAATGGAAATTGTTTCACTAAAAAATGCATCACAAAAACTAATTTTAGTAGATATTACTCTTATTAGTGACAAATAATTAATTTTATCACTAATATCTAGCCCCAACAGTGACCATTACAATAATCATCATTATTTGTTAGCCTTGTAAATTTTGCAATATATTCATGAATAGATTCTAACTTTGATAGTATCTTTGGTAATGCTATAACAATATGTGCTAGTAATCATGCAAATGATAATCTTTTTACAATAAATTGTTTCATTCTACACTTTTTTTTGATTGATGTTCTTCTCTCGTAGTATCTTCTGTATCGTAATTTTTTCCACCATACTAAAACTTCAACATTTAATATATAATACAAGTTTTTTCACCCATTTTTTTTCTCTGAAATTTCCATATATTCAAAGGATATGTCTATCTTTGTTAATCTAATCTAAAATTTATCGATATTTAAATTCTTGTTGAAAGAAGGAATGTTAGCATAGTTTGTGCCTCTCACATCCACATTT